ACTCAAAACAATCGGTCAAAAACCTCAATTCCATCACAACCTAGAAAATTCTAGGGTTCCACCATAAATCCTCAAAAATTCCAAGAAAGAAAGTAGATTAGAGGTTAAAATCACTTACTTGAAGTAATGGATCCTTAGAAATGCCCCCTCCAAGCCAAAATACCGAAACCCTAGCAGAGCCTCTCTCTCTACCTCAGATTTTTCTAATTTTCGCACAACTGAACCCCTCCCGCGACTATATAAATTCGGACTCCTTTGCCGCGGCAAACTAATCCCGAGAGGAATTACTCGCCTGAAAACCCGACTTCGCCCCGACGAACTCCAATCTTCGCCGCGGCGAAAGCTTCCCGAAAGGAAACTTTTGCTCGCCCAGAAAATCTTCGCCGCGGCATGCCCTCACCTTCGTCGCGGCGAAACCTTCCCGAAAGGATACTTTCCCCTGGAACTCCCGGTTCGCCGCGGCGAAGTTTACCCTGAGAGGGGTACGTTCACTTATTCCTCCAACATACCTCAATTCCAACCCAAACATCAAGATCAACATTAAATCACTAATCTATCCTCAAAATCAACAAAAAAAGGTTATTAAAACCCGATAAAACTTAAGACGTTACAGTAGGGGTGTTTGGTGACTCATAAAACACTTTTAAAAATTACTTTTACGTAAGCTAAGACAAAACTTCTTTCACATACATATTTCATATATTACAAAATTATTTTTAAAACTATGATTTGATTTCCACTCAAACAGCCATTTGTTGAAAAAAGAAATTTCAATTAGATTTTTGATTTAACACTCCTTCTTCTCTCATCTTTGTAAGGTTTGCGTTTTTTACAAGTGCATTGAAAATCATATAAAATATAAATGTTATTACTTGAGTAATTTTTTACTATTTTAATATTTCTTAAAATATTCTTTCAATATTTTTATGCAGTTTTTATGCTTTATACAACTTTATTTTTATTTTTTAATATTCCTTTACATATTCTTTTTAAGATTTAAATGTTAAAAAGACATGGAAAAGAAATATTTCGCACATGATCACGTGCCAAAATATTCTTATCTAAAATTAAGAATCTTAATTACAATTCCTTGCATTTTAAGTTTCATTAAATCTCTTATTAAATCTTATTGAATGTGGCGACGGCTTACAAATGGACATGTCAGATATATACACGCAATGGCAAAGATACAAATGGAGGAAGCATCTAAGCATCTAGCTTGGTGAGACCTGCTAAATGTACATGCTTTCTTTTGAACGGTCAGAACTGCTATAAAACATGGATTTTATATATAATCAACATATTCTCAACTCATGTAATCAACATCTTCCTGTAAGTAAAACAGAGCGAACTCAAAACTGGTTCCTGATGCCTAAATCAGTTCCTTATATTACATCAATAAGGAAGTGAAACATCTTTATCATATCAACATTAAATAATGTCAGGCAACAGTAAACATAATATTAAAGCACAATCCACCGCTGCAAGCACCAAAAAAAATGTGAGTGAAAATCTTCAGATTATGTTTTATAAGGTATTCCTGTCTAGGAGAAAAATCTCAGTAGACCCAACTGGCAAGAACCCGATGAACTGGGGGGAAAACTGGAAAACCAATCAGGAACGAGAAAAGATTTGGCACCAAGGGAATTTATACCAAAAAACGATCCATCTTGCAAACGTGTGAGCACTTTAGAAACTTAAATCAGAAGAACAAGTGCACGGAGGAACTAAGATTGAAAGAGATATTGAATGTCTCGAGTGTTACAGGTGAATGTAAGTAGCATTACAAGCTCCTTAAAGACCAATCGTTAAAAATTTAGTAAAACCCAAGGACACAAAAGAAAGATAACACCACGCAACTCACAAGTATGCTTAATTGGAAAAGAATAAATATAAAGTCAAAAAAATCCCAAGGCTCAAACACGTGCCAAAATAGCTTCCACCCCAGGATCTGAATTATCAAACTTAACATGGGCTGTGTGCAAATTACGTATTAGTTATTTTCTGTTCTCCTTCATGCATCAATAAGAATAAGATGAAGGGTTGAGTAAGAATAGACCAAGAAGATCAGGCAATGGTTGACAATAATTTTCGTGCAACACCACAAAAGAATTGACAAGTCAAAGGGCGACACGCAAAGAATGGAGGCACGAATCCGTATAACCATCAAACAAGGGCATATGGTGAAGGGAAAAACGTGGGGCACCACCAGAACCGATTTAGCTAAGAGTCTGATGTGAAAAACAGCAGGCTACGAAGCATTCGAGAACATGACCAAAGAAAAGAAAAATACTACTATGGTCCTAAATATAAATATAAAATTCATCTTGTAGTATAAATCCTAAATACCAGACCTATTTTATTGTGTAACTTTCACTACAAAATAGATCTTATATTTAAGATCAGAGGAGTATAATTTATGATATAATTTAAAGCCCAAGCTTGCACCTAGCGAGCATTAGATTTTAGGAGATCATAATCTAGTTTAAGGACCGTGCTGATAAGTGGTAAGTTCAAGACGTCCTATTCCTCAGGAACTAGTCATTACAACATCCTTATCAGCATCGATACTCAGTGATGCGTCAGACGCTAATTGCATAAACATCGCCTTTTTTCCCCTAACTAAAGAATGCCCCAAACAACCAGAGAACATATTCGGTGGGAAAATAGATAGAAGATATAAAAAAAAAAAAAAAACAGATGATATGACAGGCAAAGGACGAAAGATTGCATAATAAGAAAGCATTTCGATTCTCCTGTGTTGACTATCGTATCATTTGTCAAATTTGAATAATATTTGCTACTCTGTGGTAGTTTTCAGTACAAAACCATATATTTAAGTGAAGAAAAAAGACATAAACAAATTCATTGGCTTTGAAGATTGATAAAGTATAACATATTTGTTCAGTCAATGTAACATATGAAAGATGGGAAGATGATGATAGGTCAGCGTGGATCTCCACCGCCACGATCCTTCTGAATCTGATTGGCGAGCTTTTCAAGAGCAGATTGAATAGCCTAACGACCACCAATAAGTAATCGGGTGACGATCTCCGGGTCGGTCTCGAAGCGGGCCTCTTCAAACTCTTTTCGGGCGTTGTGTCGAAGAATATCACGCCGGAGGATGCCATTGCAGTCAGGCCACATAAAGAATCGGGTGGCGCGAAGAATGTCATGGTAAAGGCTGAGTGCTTCACGACGAGTACTGGTAAGTCTCCTCCGATTAATCAATTCTTCTTCTTCATCGTCAAGGGGATTATCCTTCTTGACCAGATGCCTATCGAGAAGCTCCTCTATGGTGTCTGGGCCATGGTGCAAGAAGCGCTTACTATGCACGCAGGCACAAGGAGGGCAGAATTTGACTGCAATTGATCCGTGTCGCCATATTTGCAGCTTTCCGCTCATTTCTTAGTGTTCTCCGGCGAATTTCTCCACCGTCAGCCAGACAGAGACTGATTCATTAGAAGCGCCCATGGTCCCCCCTTTTTTTGACAAAAAAATGGCAACATGTTCGTTGGTCATTCGGGCTTAGATTATGGATCTGCCGATAATTTGGACATTTTAACTATCCAGCCCAACCTCTGTCGAAATCAGTCCATAAGCATTTTATATTTAACAACTAATTTTATATTAGTGTCTAACCGTACTTCAAATAAAATTACTTCCAATAGAAAGATACTTATACTTTAGTAAAAAAAATTAATGATGGGAATGAAATAAAAAACTTAAAAGTTTAATTGATAAGGATGCAAACTTAACTATGCTTCATAAGGATGGAGTTCTTTTTTTTTGATGACAACCAGCAGTAAAAAAGAAACTATCCTATATCAGACAACATATAACTAACAACAAAATCTGGAGGAGAATAAAGAACACTTATTCCCTCAGCAGCAGTAAGCGAACTCTTAGCCAATAAATCTGCCACCATATTGGCATCACGGTTGCTCCAAGTTATGCTTGCATCCCATTCCCTTGCAAGCCTAAAGGATGAAGTTCTAACCTCACTATTAGGTATCCAAAAATGAGTCTGCAAATTCAATTCATCTAAATGCTCCCGGTAAATGACAACTATGCATACTTATCAAAACATAATTAGAACTTGGAAGGCGCAAAAGAAACTCTCTTTTTCACAGCTATTTCCGTTACTATCACGGGAGAGGATCGGCCTTGCTTTAATAATAATAAATGATCATTTGAATTTTATAACCAAGTCGTATTTTGGCTATGTATGCAAATCTATGGAGACCAGTCGAAAATCTTTCCGGGAGTTTTATGGTTGGCATATGAATTATAAAAACTGCGAACAAGAAAGTGAAGAAATGAGAATGAGGAAGATATAGTAGAAATGAAGAGGAAAGAAGGTTGAGAAGAGCATTCTCTTTTTTGGAAGTCTTTAAATCATCTTCAAGAATTCCAAAGCGTACGTGTGGTTAAAACTGCTCCTTATTGTAAATTTGTGCTTGGTCTTTTCCAAGATTGAGGTCCAATATTAATTAACTTCTATTCTAATCCTGCCCCCGATGAAGAGGATTGATATTTGGAAAAGAAGACCAGTGTTAAGATCCACGAGTTTTGTCCACAATTCATTTGCTCTAATAACAATTTTAACTACTGATTGATTGGTTCGTTTCAAACTGCATCTCGTTAAATTTTGAGAGTTATATATGTGTGTACGCGCGCGTACGCAATTGTATAAGCATGCCACTGGGCAATATGATTTCCAAGTCAAGTGATAGTATAAACGTGATTATGCAGAGTCTCATTAACTATATACTATGTCCTTTGATGCATAGGTTCAATTGGATTGTTAGAGAGAGAGAGAGAGAGAGAGAGAGAGATATGAGATGTTTATACTTTATAATTAAAGCCTCATCATAACAACTTAATGAATCTATCATTAAATTAATTACTCCTGATGATCGTTATTTGATCCATCATTCTTATGTAGATATCTATGTTATTGTGACAAAAACCAAATGCTTCGTTCGTCAGTGGCATCATCAGCTTTGGGTGCGGTTCAGGAGGCGAAGATCAGCATAATACTGAGCTATCCAACTTTTGATAATGTCAACCTCTTGTCTTCGTTGTTGGATCAGCCAGTCGGGATCGCTTTGGTTTGCACGCAGCATATCCAAGCAATGCGACCCAGAAAATTATTTCAAAGTGATCAGTTTCTTTTCTCTTTTCTCTTTTCTCTTTTCTCTTCTCTTCATACATATATTTGTGCGTATGTATGCATATTATATGAATATAAAGTACCATTGACTGTGGAGATGGCGATCACACTATCTGATATGTTGTGGAGGACCCTGAAATACATTGAAAGATTCGCATAAGTCTGTTTTGAAGTTATATTTATGTCTGATTCTGAATAATAGATCATTTCAAGGATGCTTACCCGCCAGCACTGAAAGGATCTCTCAACCCATTTGAGAAAATAATGTTGCTAGCAAACCTTTGAAGGATCAGTTTTATATCCTGTTGTCGTGGACGTACGTACGGTGATTACCAGATGAAAAATCATCAATATCTTAATTAATGACACTAAGATCTATTGAAAATAATTATTGCATGCGAAACAAAAGCAATGTGTGTTCTTGTTCTTTCATAAAACAAAAGTAATGTGTGTTCTTGTTCTTTCATATATCTATATGTATATATATGAACTAGACAGATGCATAATTTCTCATGAAAACCCTTTTGAGAATTAATGAGTGTATGATAAACAAATTAATTAAGAAGGCTTACATGACCTCCATAGTAAGTAGTGACCCAATGGGGACGAGGTAAGACACCATAGTCACGCTCGCATTGCTCCATAAAGCTCCTTAGGTCGAAAGGTTCGGGAGGGAACATCGTACCATTTCCACGCTCAATTTGCATCACCATCTCACTACAACGCTAAAATTACAAGCCAAATATCTTTTCATTTTAACATCAAAAAAAGGACAACTGCTTATATAACTAGCTAGCAGCTTGCAATTAATGATTCTTTTTTTTTTTTAATAAAAAAAAGGGTTATCTATATATGATGATCAGTTCCCAGCAGGCATTACATGCGTACACATAATAGCAGTTTGCTTCTTTTTTTTTCCTTTTTTTTTAAACAAATAGATTTCTGTCTTCTTCATATGTACGGTAGAGAATGCTATTACACCAAATGAGGCTATTAAATAGTAATGAAATAGAATAAACACACGGATCAAATTCAAACATCAATCACTAGTTGTCATCCTGATTAAATGTAATTATATATGCACGCGCGCGCGCGCCCATACCTGCCATCCCCAGCCTTCAGCTGTCTCCTTCTCAATTGCATTAGCAGGGCCATTAAATTTGCATGAGTCATTACCTTTATATTTATAATAAGCAACAACGCCTTCGTATATCTTACTGAGTATATCACTTCCTGATGATGCTCCATCAATGGCACCACAGATTCCACTAACTGGATATAATGGTGGATGATTATATTGAGCTGCACGAGCATACATGTCCTCCAAGTGCCGCCTCAACTCAGAAGACGAATTTAAGGGCCTAATAAGAAGAATTTAAAAAAAAAAAAAAAAGACACGGAGACAGTAATGAAATGCAAAAATCATATTATTACAGGGTGAGTGATGAGATGACTTTATTATTAAGCTGAAGCCTAAAAGCAACAAAAAGGTGATAGAAAAAGTTAGTATTTTTACCGGCAAGTGTTGAATCTCTGGCTAAGGATGGAAAGACCATTTGGCTCGGAAGCTACTCTGTCTATTTCAGGCCAGGAGTTTAGAATAGTTTCATGGCATGTTTCACTAGCTTCCTGCATATATAACTCATTTTCATTCGTCGGCAGGTTTCATTTCATATATTTAATTTTTTGTATTACTTTAATATGATAATCGAGTGTATGTTAATTATTATGATGATAAGGACATATTCTATGATAAGGACAAAAGAAGATCAAACGTCAAACTATGGTTTACTTACTCGAAAATCCTTCGAGACAATAGAGATGTAACCGTTTTGTGGGGTGATATTATCAAAATAGAGGATTGGAGCAAAGGATGCTAGCGCCCCAAGAGCCACGTGGGGATATTTCAGTCTAAACCATGAAGCAAGCACTGCAGAACAAACATATTTTAAGAAATAAATATTTATGTCAGAATATAATTGAAACGTAGTTAAAGAAGACTGTTTGAGGAACTAACTTCCACCATATGATCCTCCAAATACGATCATGGGGGACTGCTGGGCCTGTAAAGTTTCCTTAATATGTATGAGAATTTCTGCGTAATCAGCAAGGGCTTGAGCTGAGTTGAAATACCCAATAGTGCTTGTGTTCATCGCTTCTTCCCTTGATCCAAATGGGACTGATTCCCCATAGTATCGATGCTGGTGAGAAATAATAATTGGGATCAAAACATGCAAAATCTTTAGACGATTTTGAGTTGAATGGATCACAGTATATGAGAATATTCGGATGAAACATGACAGTATACTTCAAATTACGCCAAAATCTTACTTCGATGAATACCACTAGAGCGCTAAAGGCAGCGGCATTATCAGTTGGAAATCCTACTACGCTGAGGATAAGATCTAAAGGAGCTTCAGCACCAAAGTAAGCAAATATAGGAGCACTGGAATTGGCACCACCCCAATACTTGAAATTGATGAGATATCTTTGTTGAAAATCTGTGTAGCTTTCATGCCCGTAGTTGAAGTGATCCAGAGTCTGGTTGTAATAGAATGTTTTGAAGTCCCCAGTATCTGATGCAGCTATTAATGTTTCTTGGTCTTTTAAGGTTGTTCCTTCAATTGCGCTCAACCCAGGAATTGTGATGGATTGAGTTTCAGAGAGACACGTTATGTGTATCAGAAAAACGAATAGGAGCCATTGAAATGGCAAGGAAGAGTGTTTCATTGTGTTAAAAGTAGCAAAATGGCTTTCACTCCTTGAGGTTTCTCTTGTGTTTCAGACAAGGAATTCAAAGACGTCCTTTTATATAGCATATGATGCTCAGAAGGTTGTGTTTGTATTTTTCAATGTGTAATAACTTATGGATACGTACGAGGGGGTGTACTTCGATGTAAGAAAAGAGCGATCAGTCTTCTTTTAGATCATAGTAATACTCGCAAGAATATTCAATCAAATGTAGAGCTGTGAATCGGTTTAATCAGAGTAACTATGTTTGACCCGGAGTTTATTTCGATGGAAAAAAGGTGATTGAATATTCTTGATTGGTTAACAGGATTGTCCACAAGGATATAGCTTAATGCTTGATGACCATCAAGGTCACAGTAGCACTTTTTCGGAGACAAGTTTTTATAGTTGCTCCGTAACCAAATCTCATGCGAACACGTTAGACAGAGTGAATGTTTCCCCTTCATTATTATTTCTTAGTAATGCTCGCCGCCCATTGACTGCAAGGATTTAATTTTAGAGCTGTAAATCGGTTCAATCAAAATAACTGTCCGATTAGAGTTTTCCAATGAGAAAAAGGTTACCTTCGAATATATTATGCATTTATGCTAGCCTCGTGCAAAGAGTAAATTTTGGATAATTAGTTAATTACATATTGGCGGTCACACACACACACACACACACACACACACATGTATATATGCTTGTGAAAACGGGGCACAGGGAGGGATGAAGAGAGTAAATTCCTCATTGTTAATAGTTATCAATTCTTTCTTGCATCATATAGCTTGATGCGTAATGACCGTCAAGGTCAAATTAACAGTCTTCTAGGAGACAGGTTTTATAATTGCTCAATGAACATATCTCATGCAAATATGTGTTTAAACGGTCAGAGTGGTTTTTCTTTCTTTATTTCATGTCAGATTCACCACAAAAAGTGTGTGTGTGTGTGTGTGAGTGAGAGACAGAGAGAGTGTTCGTGTGTGAGAGAGAGTTGGCTGAAGATTTCGCAGAAGTTTGAAATATTAATAGACTTGATATTACTCCTCTCAGTTCCATGATCTGTTCGGGTATAAGCATCCTAACATTTCCCAGTACAAAAAATTGTGACTAAGCACAAGGAAAACTAATTTTGAAGAAAAACTACAAGTTTCTAACTAGAAGAATCTGTAAACTATATTGACAACGAATTGATGCGAGTGAGGCCCATGCACTAAGTGCAAGCAACCACAATAGAATATCAACCACGGAAGCACAGGCAGTTGACCTAGGACACTTGACCCGCAACTCAACCGGCAGCAGTAGTACATAATATACAACGCATACGATGACCATCCATCTCGGATTCTTCTTCATCCACATAACCATTATAATCATAATGTTCAGCCTTTCCGTTAGTGACTTCAATCTCTTTATTGCTACTGCTAGTGTCAGTGGAATCCATTAGACAGGTTGTGTGATAAGCATGACAGCAAAAGAAAACAACGACCGAGTCTGACACACTCTGAATGGAAAAAGGGTCAAAACATATACAGCATCTTCCACCTCCCCGATTCTTCGACTTTACTTCAACGTTTCTCAAAATTGTAGATTTCTCAACCACCTGAGAATCATGATTTTCAGTTCTTTTAGACCGTGGCTCGACCTCATTACTTAGATAAACTCCATGCCTCGCCTCTTTGTAATACTTAACCAACAGGTTGACACAGTCGGCCTATTTCAATGACGGAAAATCAGCAAAGATGTATTGTTGTTCCGATTAACTAAAATTTGATGATTTTCCCTTGTACCCAGGAAGGGTACAGGCAGGGGAGGGCCAGGGAAGAATATTACCTTCAGGATATCATTGCACCCATGTCTGAGTGATGTTTCAGTCCTGTAATCGGTGGTAATTTTAACCAGCCGATCCCTAAGTCTGCAAGAAAAACAGATAGAGATTTTATGGCTACTGAAGAAAAAAATGCTCCCATGCTAAGTTGGAATTAGAAGCCAGAATGAGATTGATAAGACCAATCGGTTGAAATTCTGAGAACGGTCCATAAAATGCATATTCACAACCAGAACTAGCGAGATAAGCATTGATATTATCAGATATAATAATTACAATAATAATACTGATTCATTGTATATGCCTGCTAATAAATAATAGGTTATGAAGAGATATTAGTTACCGGGGTATTTCCATGCCATTGGGAACCTTATTTACTATGTAGAGGGGATCAAGATTCCCAACAGTGTGTTCCAATAGAATACCCACCTATTAAATAAAAGCATCAAGTTTAGAACGGGTTGATAAAAGGCAGGTGTTGTGTGTGTGGGTGTGTGGGGTAAAAGAAGTGACTAAAATATCCTATACATCAATTTAATTTTAAAATACCATTTCAGGTTTGTGTAGGCATTGCTTGATCAGTTCTTCCCAAAGTTCATCATCATGCTGCATTGTGACAAACTCTACAGCCTGTACCAAACCAGAATGGTCTCCTTATAACCATGACCTTAAACTTTAAAATCCCTTACGTTCTAAGTCAAGATTTGGAAGATGGTTGAAACCAAAAACCACTTCCATTGATGAAGATAAAAGTACCTCCTCTATATCCCCTAATTTATCTATAATCATAGATAGGGCTTGCTTTGAGTTGCCCATCCTTCCTAGGATGAAGATTTGCTCCCTCAATAGATCTCTTTTGATGCAAATTTCATAGGCCTGAATACAATGTCAAGAATTTGATTTAAATTTTACATAAATATAACTGTCGACAATATTCACAGGTTGACGTCAAACCTTCTCAAGGGTATAATGTTGACTACTGCGAAGAAATGGGAGCAGCATCTTTGGGTCATAATCTGCATAAAGTTCTACCTGGTACACGGCAGACAAAATGGCAATATTAGCACCAAAAAATAAAGTGTCTATGCACATGCACCAACTTACGAATCACTATTAATGTTAAGCTACATAAGATGGATTCTGCAATAATAAGACACCAATTCAAGGTGAACTGGAGAAGAATACAACACTAAGCACTAATACTGTAATAGCCTGCAATGATACAACTGGACCCCGACAAAGAATCCAAAACAAAAGGAAGCCTGCAAAGGTCAAGTGAAAGAAATAAAACCTACCTGCATATCATGAAATTCCTTCCCAGCATGTGGGTCTACTTCAAATAATGAATGAAGGTATAAATGTACAAAATATCTGTAGTCACGTTTCTTATCAGCATTCAGAAGTTGCTTCACAACTTCAGGTGAACTTATCAAGTCCCTGTTTTGAGTAAATAGAGCAACTGCACGCTTCCCATCCAGCATCATCAGTTGGACAACCTGAAAAAGCACAGCATAGACCAAGAAGAATCCGGGGATCATATAAAAAATTGAAAATGAAATAAAAGTGCAAACAGAATATGAGCTCATATGCCACTTCAAGTTGATAAATCAACGACTATTCTCTTTTAAGAACAACAATCATGTTTATATCTGCAACCAGTTCATGCTACTTCTCCAAGGATGGGAATCTATTAATTCATCCATTTTGCCATACACATTTTAAAAATCTATTTCGGAATCTCGTAGGTATGGGGTTCATTATGAATTCATTTGTTTTCAGATCAGCCGTTGTTCATTACATGAGATTTTAACATTATAATCAACTTATTTCTTTCCTTTTTATGTATAGAGCTATATTTATCATGCATTGCTTGCCTCCTTCACTCATGAGATCGGGTGGCAGACTCCTAGATCAATTATCTCCTTCATATGTACTGCTCCTACTCCAAAACAAAAAAGGACCAAAACAAACTTCTGAATTCCAAATGTTCGGAGTCTCTTAGAAAACACGCACTTGTATGCCATTGCAAGAATAAAAGTCAACAACTCCCCTTTGATGAACAGTATGTTTTACATCTGGAGACCCGATTTTAGATGTGTATTGGGATTCTATTGTTCATCCATTTCGTCATATGCATTCAATAAGTTTATGCGATATTGACAAACATGAATGATCAGATCCTAGTATACTGCAGCTAAACTTCTAAAGAAGATTATTCAGGTGTAACAATGCATAATGTCGGATGCCAACAAAGAGAAACAAGATGTGAATTCGATCGTCAGATAAGAATACGCAGAAACACAGAATTCCCAGATAAATCAAAATTTTATAGATTAGAATCACACCTTTTCTCGGACTGCTTCATGTAGATTATGTTCATCAATGAAGTCAAATATTTCTGGTTTCATAAGCTGAAAATTTCAAGCAAGACAGAGAAAAGTTAAGGAAATTAACAGCCAATCACAATAAAGACAAAAGACCTCAGAGCTAAAGCATTTGCATGATAATCAATGAATGTAATAGATATCTGAACACAAGAAAAGTGCACTAACACCACTTACATCAGCATACAATGAAAAGGCTTCCCCATATTGCCCGTTGATTACATATAACTCAGCCAACGCCTGCCCAAGAAAAAGGAACATGTTAAAATGAAAAGATGGTTCACAAATTCAAAATGCTATTCCAACATATCAGACTAACCTCCTTCAGTGAATCAGTCATGGATGACGTATTGAGCTGAGGTTCAATTGCTGAAATAACTGGCAATGCGCTATAAATAACAGAAGGCCAGGATTTCACAATGGAAAGGAGATCCCTGTGAAAAGATGGATTTGTAGCCAATGCAACAAGAGCAACCTGTAGGCCAAACACAGAATAAAAAGTATTTCACCCCAACTTAGTTCATTACAGATACTATGCAAAGACATTATTTGTGACAAAGTCTATTTCATCCAAGCTAACCTCATAAGCAGTATCTCGCAGTCTAGGGTTTTCGGTGGGCATATAGGGGACCAATACAGGAAGTTGACGAAGGTGTGCAAAGTGGAAAACCCATCTGTTGACAGCAGTCCATTGTCAGTCTATAAATGAGAATTATTCAACAGACTAGTAAAAAACGCATGCAGTACCTTTCCCATGCTGAAGCTGATCCTCGCAGCACTTGGGACAC